AGAAAGAAAAATTAGAAATAAGTATGTGTTACACTAAAAAAGTAATCATCAACTCAAAATTACTAATCATTTAAGGTAGTTGATTTCATAATTCATGTGTATGCAGGTAGGGTGTGTGTGTGTGTGTGTGTGTGTGTGTGTGTGTGTGTGTGTGTGTGTGTGTGTGTGTGTGTGTGTGTGTGTGTGTGTGTGTGTGTGTGTGTGTGTGTGTGTGTGTGTGTGTGTTTTACTAGGGTTTGAACTCAGGGCCTCATACATGCTTAAACATGATCTCTACCACTAAGCTAGGGGTGTGTGTGTGTGTGTGTGTGTGTGTGTGTGTGTGATACTAGGGTTTGAACTCAGGGCCTCATACATGCTTAAACATGAACTCTACCACTAAGCTAGGGGTGTGTGTGTGTGTGTGTGTGTGTGTGTGTGTGTGTGTGTGTGTGTGTGTGTGTGTGTGTGTGTGTGTGATACTAGGGTTTGAACTCAGGGCCTCATACATGCTTAAACATGAACTCTACCACTAAGCTAGGGGTGTGTGTGTGTGTGTGTGTGTCTGTGTGTGTGTGTGTGTGTGTGTGTGTGTGTGTGTGTGTGTGTGATACTAGGGTTTGAACTCAGGGCCTCATACATGCTTAAACATGAACTCTACCACTAAGCTAAATTTCACACCATCTTACAGCAAGAAAAAGATACACTTTTTAACTTGAAATTTCACTCAAACTCATTTATACCCATTTCCTCTCTACAATCATTGTAACGAATATAAATGACATCATTTTGGGAATGAAATTCAGGGAGAAGAATTTACTCTATAGCTCTGTAACATGAATTATAAAAATGGTACAAGAGCATACATAGCAATACCAATAGAGCATTAGTTATTGTGAGTATTTACCAAGTACAGATAATCTCACTTCAAAATAAAAGGCAAGTAAAAATTTTAATAATGGGTATTTTCAGAATTGTGAGGGAACCAACTGTTCACAACCCCGCTCTCCATTTTTTAGGTGAAATAGTCTTACTTCACTTCTCAATGAAGATTTGCAGTTTACAAAAGAGAATAAAGAACCATTAGGGAAACCTTATTTCATTTCAGACCTATTGCTATTTTTGTAAGCAGAATATTTACATTACTTCAGCACTTTTTATATTATCTACTTTTTTGCCCGTCTAGCTTATGTTTTAAAGGTAGTACAATAAAAACAGAATCACTCACATTTACAAGGAATTCCACTCAGGACTACAGGATAATAGCACCTCATTACCAACAAACAGAGTATTTTCTGAATGCTTTCAACCAAGTGAAAAAATTTTAAGTGTAAATGAAATTCAGCATCAATTCATGGAAAGTGATATGAATTGCAAAGCAGAACATCTAGCTGTCTATTTTCAGCTCTACCAAGGACTGAAAAAATATGAGTCAAACCTCTCTCTGCATCCATTTCTCCATCTAAAAAGGACTGACACTGACCCCTCCCTAATAATGTTTTTGAAAGGACAAATAAGATAATTTATGTGAAAACCCTGTAAGATTTTTGAAGACAATAAAATCCAAAGTGTAACAGATGTTATCAAACCACAGTTAGAAGAAAAAGACATCTTGTACTTTACATCAAAAACAACCAATACATAAATATGACAAACTGTAAAATACAAAAAACAACAAAATAAATTTAAACATTCTGCACTTAAAAGGACTACTGGAGCATACCCTGGAGTCACATGTTCAAAATACGTTATTCAATACTGCTGTAATTACAGTAATAAGAACCTGCCAGTCAATACTACAGCTTAATGCTGAACCACTGCTCTTGGTTTCCATGTAGGAAACCATCATTGGGATTCATCATTCCCAAAAAGAGAAAAAGATAAGAAATATGAGATGGGCAAGAAAACTCTTCTACCAAGCCATCCCAAGGATTCACATATAAAACATCTTGTCCAAGATGCACTAGGTACAGTGTATATATTCTTCATTCTGTAAATGCCCTTTCCATTATTATAACCTTAACTGAAACAGCCAGAATATCAGATCTAAAACTTTAAAAAAAAAAAAAATCAAAAGTTTAATACCACTCAATAAGACAGACTTCCCAGGGAGTCCAAAACAGGAGCTCATTCATGCTTAGAAGTCCATAAAACTTATGACAGGCACGCTAAATTCTTTAACTTTTACCTAAAGTTATTCTTTCAGGAAAAATTTAAGATAATTTTAAAAGGGAATTGAATGGTCACTAAAAATTTCTCTTTTTTAAAAAACAGCTAAAAGGATCCTTACATGCAATAATAATTTTCAATGTTTTCATTATTTCTGTAATTACATGGTACTTTTTATCCAAAGCCTTTTACTTCATTGAAGACTTTCATTTTACCTTACCCAAATATTTAGCCATTCTAAGTAACCATAAATGGCTTTCAAACACTTTCAAGAACAACCTGGATACTAAAATTTATTGAAAAGGTGACCCTCCAGAGAATGAAAATTCTTTCCTGGACAAGAACTTGTTGAACAAGGAAGCTAAGTGGGAAACTAAAAACAAGAAGGAAAAACAAAATCACAGATGATAATGAGCCCAACTTAAGGATGGAAAATATTCAGAAGGCCTCAAAGGTAACTTCTCAGCTATCCTTAGCTCCCCTACACATAAAGACATGCAACAAGAAATGCAACATGTTATACAGATAATGATAAAATAGATAAGGTATAGAATAAAAGGTATAAAATAGATAAGGTATAGAATTTTCCAGTATGCCCTTTAAGGCCGTCATCCAAAACAAACATTGTCTTCTTCTTAAAGAAAACAAATATCAAGATATAACATCCCTTTGGGGTGTCCTATATTCCACTGGAGCACTAGAGGTAGTTTCTAGGAATCTTGTCAGCCCAGCGTGAAACTTCACTGTGTATGAAGTCCTGACAATGTCTCAGAAAGTGAGTTCTAACAAGACTAAATGTCCATGTGAAAGTTCAAGTGCACTAAACCAGGTACTAAATTTTGTCCTAAGGCAAATGAGTATCAGCAGAGTTGTTATATTAACCTAAACCTAAAATAGGTTCAGCACTGTTTAAATACAAAACAAGCAATCAGACAACCTAATTACCACACACCTTCTTTCTAGAATCTTGTGTGTACTCTGACTTCACATTCAAGAACAAGATGGATAATTCAGAGTGACAGCCCCAATTTATTAGTCATTTTTATGAGCTTATAGACAGATGTATATATGTATTTCTGCTGTGCATGTAGAATAGATCAGTTAAGTTCAGAGTGAGGTAACAATTACTGTTTTTCATAAAGAATAAAACAAAAATATTTAAATAATCATACCAGAAACTGAAGATTTAACAAAAGGATTTGTCATTTATATTGAGATTCACTGGAAGAAAAAAATGCTTATCATTCACTTGGAATACTGTAGACACTCTTAAAAACACAACCAAAGCGAATCAAAGATTTAAAGTTCATGACTGTGACACCCAAAACCTCTCCTGTGGATATTCATCAGAACAAAATAAGAGTCGAAAAGCTCCTTCCTTCAATATAAAAATGTGTCCAAATATTGTTCATTTTCTATACCTTGTCATATATCTATTTCCCTCCATGTAGTTAAAGCACATTTATCATTCTCATGTCAACAAAATAGTCTCAAGTGTGCTTCCCCCTTGAAAGCTGTCATAAAGTATTTATTGTTTCACAAATTACATGAGCTCTAGGAGAAAGTGATATAGTGCTTGTGTCTGTAAAATAAAATTGTAAAAATCACCCACTTTCTGGGCCCAAGTTTTTAAAGGCTATCATTCAGTTAAGATATTATCTTTAGTACTACAGCTGCTATTGTACTAAGATCTGGGTTTTATTTAATAAGCAAAGGTTCATCAGAAGTCCACTTAAGCATTTCAGAAAAATTGCAATTAAACTTGAGGAATATCTCAACAGGGATACAACACAAATTAGACCAAATACATTAAATGTAAAAAGAACAGGTACAGACTAATGGAGTTGGTAGTATGATTACTTTTCTGACATTACAACCTAAAACCTAGAGCTGGCAAAGATTTGATTCTCATGATTTAGTTCTTCTAATTTTTTAAGTTTCTTATGATAAGACTTATCACTAAGAACTTTTGTTCAAACCAGAGGAGGAAATGGATGCAAACTTACCAAGTTCAAATGCAGTACCTAGGATCTACAGCTCCCTAGTTTAGAACCAGCCAAGTCTTTAGCCAAAAAAGACACACTACATTTCTCATCAACCCTTGTAAAAATTTGATCTGGTACTTGAAAGACAGGAAGATCTGGGGTCCACCCCAAAAGTAGAAAAGGCAACTACTTAAATTCTTATTATGAACCCTAGTGCAAGTTCTACGTCAAAGGTCTGGACCAGAAAGCTGGAAGCAAATTCATTTGCATGCAAGATTCAAACTTGAAGAAGAAAGTGGGGGGGGGGGGGGGTTGGAGATCCCTAAAGTAAACCAAGAACGCTATCTGTCAGGTGTCTAAGAGGGCTGTAACAACAGCAGAGTGGAACAAACAAAGGCATCAGTTAACAAGGCACAAGTGGCCCTTAGTGACCCTAGACCAGGAACGGGAAACTTCGGAGAGTCAGGGGCAGGGAAGGTGTTCATTCCTGAGGATTAGGCCAGTTTACCCGAAATCCAAACTGCCTGAAGCCAGCGAAAGCCTGAGCAGGGTCCAGAGCCAGCAGAGGCCAGGCACCTTCGGCGTTAAAGGTGTCGTCGCTGCCTTTCCGGACAGTGTGCTGCCGCTGCCTGCACTTCCTGCTGGCTGGGCCGCCACCTCCCCTGCCCCCGCCCCCCGGCCTTCCTACCTGAGCCCGGGGGTGACCACCACTCTCCCATCTACAGACGGCGCAGGAAAAGCTGCGCCCAAGTATCAGAGGCTCAGCAGCCCCTCAGTTACTCTGGGGCTGGGCCCTGTGAGCTGCTCAAGGGTCGCTCGCTGTCAGAGTTTGGGGGACGCACGTCGACGTGCAGGTGGCTTCCTTACCTGCATAGAAGCGGATGAGACAGCCGACCTCCGAGTCCAGGCCTTCTTCCTGCACCCTCCATAGTTCCCCAAATCCCAGTTGGAAGAGGTAGTCATTTTGGATCTGCAGGGGCTTCTCGTCCGCCTCCAGGCGCCGGGTGGTCTCCCCGTGGAGCTGCACGTACAGGGTGGGCGGTGGAGGCGCCTTCTCCGCCATCCTCTCCCCGCTCCTCCCGGTGGGGGAGAGGGGGCTTCCTGGGGCCGCCACCGCCGTGTCCCCCCGAGATCCCTCGCGGGCTGCCCCGTCGGGGGCTTTCTGCGGCGGTGGAGGTGGGGCGGCCGTCTGGGAAGGCGGCGGGGGCTGCACGGGGAGACCCGGGCGACGGGGCTGGCTCGGGTCTGCCTCCAGCTCTTCCGACGACGAGGAGCCGCCGCCGCCGCCGCCGCCGCCGCCGCTGCTGTAGGGGTCGAGGCGATCGGACACGCTCTCGGCACTGGGGCTCAGGCTGAAGCTCTCGGTGTCGGAGGCCGGGCCCGCGGGCGCACCGTCCAGACGCCGCGGGGCTCCGGGCGGGGAAGCCGGGCCTCCCGGGAACGTCTCGCCGGGGCTGGAGTCCGAGGGCGCGGGGCTGGCGCGGGAGGCGCGGCGCGGCCATCCGCCCGCGGGCAGCGGCAGGTCGCCGGGAGGGGCGCGCGGCGGACCCCCGGCGGGCCCCGGGGCGGCGATCCCGACGGACGGCGAGTCCGGCGGCGCGAGCCGCGAGCCGGCGTCGGGGGGCAGCTCCGCCGGGGCGCCGTCGGCAGCGGCGCCCGGCGCCCGGCCCGGCACCTTCACCACCCCGCCGCCTTTGGGGCCCAGCTGCAGGAGGCGCGCGGCCACCTCGCCCGCCGTGGTGTCCAGCGTGCAGAGCACCGGGCGCAGGTAGCTGGAGGCCAGGTGGCGGTCGAAGACGTGCACGCAGCCTCGCCGGAGCTGGTGCCTCACCCAGTCCCGGTCCGACGGCTGCAGCGGCAACGTCTGCCGGTGCTTGAGGAGCAGAGTCTTCCGGTCCAGGCTCCGGGTGCACAACGCCGCCGAGGCCGAGCAGGAGACGGGGAGGCCGGCGGCGCCCGGGGGCTGCGAGGCGGGCCCGGCTGAGGACGAGGAGGACGACGACGACGACGACGACGACGAGGCGGCGGCGGCGGCCGCGGACAGATTCCTCTTCAGCCTCCCTCTCCTCAGCAGCAGCGAGTTGGCGCCGCCGCCGGCCCCGGACACCGGGGCGATCCCGCCGGCGGGGGGCTGAGGAGCCCCGCGCCGCCGCCGGCGCCCCGTCCCCCCGGCCCGGCCCGCCGGCGCCTCGCGGGGGGCCTCTGCCCGCGCCCCGCCGCCGTTCCCGCCGCTCGCGGGCGCCGCGGTCAGCGCGGGCTCCGGGCTCCGGCCGCCCCCGGCCGCCGCCGCCAGAGCCGCCGCCGCCGCCGCCGCCGCAGCCGGAGCCGGAGCCCGGTCCTCCCGGCTGGGGTCGGGGAGTCGCTGCGCCGGGGCCGCGGCAGCGGGCTCCATCGCAGTGGGGTTTCGCGTCTCCCCCCCAGCTCGGGCGGCGGCGGGCGGAGAGGGAGGCGGTGAGGCGAAGGTGGGAGACGGCGGCGGCGGCCGCGCGCGGAGAAGGGAGAAGCCAATGGCGCTCGGCGCGGCCGTTCCAGGGGATTATGTGGCAATTCGGAGCATTCCGTCGGTGTCTCGGTGTTCCATCCCGCGCGCCCGCCGGGCCGCACCGTCCCCCCCGCCACACGCGCCCTCCCCGCCGAGTCCAGGGCTCCCCCGGCGCCAGGCCCCGCCCGCTCCGCCCGCCTCACCCCCTCGAGCCAGCCGCCGCGCGCGGCTCATTGAATATTAATCACGCGCGCGGGAAGGCGGGCGGCGAGGAGGGGCGGGCCCCGCGCGGGCCTCATGAATATGCATCGATCACATGACGACATTTCGGGGCGGAGCGTCGGGAGAAGGGCGGAGGGGCGGACCTCGGGGTAAATAAACGTGACGCGTGCGTGCGAGGGCGGGGCCGTTCCTGGGCGGTCCCGGAGTCCACTCGAGGAGGGACGGCATGCGATGCGCGGTGCTCCTTGGGAGTTGTAGTTCTCTTGAGGATGGAGCATGCGGGAAGGGAGCGGTGGCGAACTACAAGCCCCAGCGGCCCTAAGGAGGTCGACCCTTTCAATACTGCCAGCTGCTGGCGGTCGCTGGTGGGCATTGTGCCCTCTGCTGTTGAACTCCTTGCCCGGGAACGTTCTTCTTTGCCCTTACTCCGCCACTCCTGCTTACCAGATGACCGGGCTGACATATTTTCCCTGCTAATTCAGAGTGAGGGCTTTCAGGGACTCTTAAACGGTACGGACATCCTGGGTACGCCACTGCCCATTGTGTAAAATACAAGTTAAGTACACTCTCAGGACATCCCAGGACCCTGGGCGGCCCCGTGGGTCCTCTTGACCCCCCTTTCCCACCCACGGCTTTTTCAAGGTCGGGGAAGACACGCAGTGTGTGGAAATTCTAACAGACGATAGTTGCCTGTGTCTGGTGGGAATTATCTAAACCTGACCCCATCCTTTTCCATTCTCCTTTTAGGAGAGAAAAACCATGGCCAATGGCCCATCGTTTCCCACTGATCTTGACGTTTGAAGTAGTTTAATCACACAGAAAGGAGAGAAAATAGAAGAAACATTCGAATGGTGACAGTGAGATATGAAATAAGCTCTTTCCGGAGTTGGTTGTTTTGTTTTCTTATTTTTTAAGGGGGAAAGATTTATTCATTTCGTCTATTATTCTATTTATTGCCAAGATCTCCTAGTGCAGCTCAGTTCGAAGTGACAATCCCTCTGCCTCAGCCTCCGCAGAGTTGCGATCAAAGGCATTTGCCACCCCACCAAGGGAAAATATATTTTCTACCGTTAAATGTTTAGTCTTGGTCTGAAAAGTGACCTTTCTTCTTTCTTTTTGGATAATTTACTAAACCCTTTTTTAACGTCGTTTTACCAGAGGGTTTCATTGAGAGCATCACATACATAGTTATGGAATACTTTTAACATGTTCATCCATGTTATTCTCTTACACTCCCTTTCTAACCTATCCCCCACCTTTCCAAGGTATTTGGTGGATTTAATGATCTTATCTACCTATCTGTCTATCTGTAATATACTTCCATCCTCTTGATACACCAATCCCGTCCTTTCCTCTTTCCCACTGATTCCTCCCCCTCACTCACACACACAATCCCCTTGTACACTCATTTCCATTGTTACCATTTTAGACTAGATTTCACATATTAATGAGAACATGTGATACCTAGCTTATCTCATTCAACATGATGATCTCTACATCGATCCATGTTCCTGAAAATATCTTCAATTCATTCTTTAGTATTAAACCTTTTTTTTTTTTTTACTGAATTGCCTTTGTTATTGAATACCCTTGATTGCTTATAAATCTGAGCTTTCACATGTAAGACTTTTAAATAGTTTTAACTAGATGCTATCCAGGACTTAACTTCAATAAAGTTGCTAAAAGTGAGAACAGAGAGAGCAAGCAACTGAAATTTGCCTGAAGAAAAGATGCATGGAGTTTTTCCATAAAATTGCATCGAAGAGAAATGGAAAAGGCTACTAGGATAAAAATAAATAATTTTCAGTGAATCTTGAAATTCCTAAAATTACTCCTAAAAATTATTTCCTGTATTTTTAAGGATTTACCCCTTGGCTTCATGAAATTAATTTTTATTCCATTTAACTCAATAGCAACATTTTAAAAATTAGAGCTATTACATGTTCCCATAAGAGAGATACAGATTCAAGTAAGCTAGCAAACTACTATAGAAATATACACCAGTCATGTGTTCAGCAATGGAATAACCCAGTACAACAAAAGGAAAGAAGGATGAGAGGGAAAGAACAGAAAGAAGAAAGAAAAGACAAAGGGAGAGGAAAGAAGGGGGAGAGAATTTAGTAGCCAAAATACTGGAGTTGGGAGGGGCAGCTGGGGAGCCATCATATAATTCTGACAAAGACGAACTTGCCACAAAGGATACCTAATACTAAATTGCAGGTAGGAGAGATTTTAAAAAAGTGAAACTATTATTATTGGAAAAGAAAATACATTACCAACTCAAAAAGAAAAAGATAGAAGTAGACTTGGGCCCAGTGTGTCATGCCTATAAGTCTATCTAATCAAGAGGCTGATATTAGAGAATCTCAGTTTCAAGCGAGCCCAAGCAGAAAAGTCCTAGAAAAGTCCTTGCTGAGATGGAAGTATGGTTCAAGTGTAGAGCACCAGTCATAAGCAAACAAGCCAACTGAGAGCACAAGACACTGAGTTCAAGAAACTGTAAACAGAAAAAAAGTAGATGTAAAGTGTTTGTTTTTCCCCAATTCATGAAAACAGTCTGTAATCTGCAAAATGATATATTTCATTGTGCTCAGGATAAGAAAAATCAGAATGCAGGGTAAAAAAAAAAAAAAGGTCTATGTAATCCAAAACTTTCGCAAGTCTATGCAATCCTAAACCTTCACCAAGTTACAAAACTTGTGAGTGAAAAGAGAGAAAGAATTCCTAAAGAATAGATAATCCTCTGAATGCCACATCAGCCAGAACCTAGCAGTTGAAATAACAAATTGATAAAGGGCCATGAAATTTGTACTTAGAGCTTGCTGGCATTGTGGGACATCTCCCAGACCATCTGTGCCAACACACACTGTCAAATTTCTCTGAATAAGGAAATGTTTTTGATAAAAGGCAAGTGTTTTTCCATAAACTCAAGGAATCGCAGCTTCTCCCACTTAAAAAGTGGAGCAGGGGCTGGGATGGAGCTCAGTGGTAGATCACGTGATACAGACCTGGGTCTGATGCCCAGCCCTGAAAAAACAAAAGCAAGACAGACAAAGTTGACTCCATTTCTCTCACCATTGCCAGATGTGGGTAACTCATGCCATAATCCTATCTACACAAGACGATGAGATCTGAGGATTGCAGTTCAAAGACAGCCAGGGCAGGAAAGTTCATGCAATTCCCATCTCCAGTTAACCAGAAAGCATCATCCAGAAAGCCAGAAATAGAGAACTGTGGCTCAAGTGATAGAGCACTAGCCTTGAGTGGAAAAGCTAAAGGACAATGCCCAAGCCCTGAGCTCAAGTTCTATACCAACGGGGGGGGGGGGGGGGAGGATGTACAAATACATAAGGACCCACCCTTTAAAATATTCTATATACACCTATAATCATCTGCCACCTTTCTGACTGGCCACATTTCATAAAGTATCTCATTTTCAAATGCTAAAAGATAATCCTGAAAGGAACTGTCAGATAGAAAGTCATAAACCTTGATGCCAACTTGTAAAAATATTTTCACAGCTTAAGTTTGGAGATAGAGTACATTATTTTCTATTCTGTTCCACAGCTCCTTTTTGCTACGTGATTTGTAACTGGCTTGCTGTGTTCTGTATCGAAGTTAATCCTGTGTGCATCCTTGAATCTAAGATAAAAGAAAACATCTTTGGAATTTTTCCTAATGTAAGCAGTTGGAATTTTAATAGTGGCATCAATTGATGGCTGGGATAGTTTCATTCTGAATTGTTGAGGGCTCAGCTGAGTCCAGAAATACACACAGAAAGATGCAATATACAATGTAATTCATTTAGTTAGTACATTATAAACAAGGGATCTAATTATAGTTTCACATTTTTATATCCCCTGAGCTACTAGTGGTTTACCATGCCTAAATTGCTCACTGTTTACTCATTCTTTTTCTTTTTCTTTCTTTTATTTTTTTACTGTGAGGGACCCATTTAGCAAATTACTGGTGCACTAAATGGGCCCCAGGTGGCCAAACTGAATTAATATGTTCCCTGTTCACTGGCAAGATGAGACCTTATGGTCTCTCTCAAGTCTTACCCTCCTTCATAAAACTTCCAGTTTGAATTTGATCAAGAGCTCAGATTACTACTCTCATTTTACACAGTCTGTTTTATAGTGGGGCTTGATAGCTTTTCAGATTTTACTACACTCTTTGTAATCCCTTAATTCTCTATCTTTTTCTCATTTCTCACTTTCTGCCTCACCCAGATAAACAGAGGTTCTGGATGTGACAATAATGATGCTTCACACTGGACGCAGGCCTTCCTCCTAGTGATATAAAAAACTTTAGCCTTCCACAAGTATTTGCAGAATTTATATACATAGGCACCTTTTCCCCAAGTAAACACTGTACAGGCAAAAATACCTGCCCTCCACCAGGCTCATCTATAGGTGATGATCATTTTTTGTAGTTAAGCATCAACCTACTCTCTTTTGTACACACAGCTCTTGATTTGGGCAAATAGGGAAATCTAGATATAAAATTACACATGAGGGCTGGGTGGCTCAGTGGTAGAGTGCTTGCCTTGCATGCATGAGGCCCTGGGTTCCATTCCTCAGCACCACATAAGCAAAAAGAAAAAAGCCGGAAGTGGCTCTGTGGCTCAAGTGGTAGAGCGCTCGCCTTGAGCTGAAGAGCTGAGGGACAGCGCCCAGGCCCAGAGTTCAGGCCGCATGACCGGACCCCCCCCCCCAAAAAAAAAAAGAAAGAAAAAAATTACATATGAATATAAACATTTTGTCC